TTATTATTATAAGGATTTGGACACTTTATATATGCATTACACTTTAAAGAAGGGGGGGGGGGGGGGGGANATGGATATATTGTGCACCGATTCAGCTGATCCACCCCCATGTGCGCCCTATTCAATGTGACTCTACATATATATACTCTCCGTTCCCCTTTTCGCTCTCGATAACTTTTATTTGTTTATATTTGTTTTTGATAATTCGATAAAATAAAATATTATTTTCATGTCTTTTTTATGTAATATTTTTGTACTTATAAACAGTGTAATTTATACTTTTTATTTTTATATTAATTTGAAATTAAAATCATTTTAAAATTGATGAAATTTTGCACGTTGTTTGGAGTGTGTCATCTAATATGGGACGGAGGGGTATATCCTTATCCAAATTTTTCTCTTCTAATATAGCTAGATTTATTTCGTACAACTAATTAACACCCTACTCTAAATCATGATTAATTAGCTTGTGGTTTACGGAGTATCACGTACTCAATTATTTGTATTTTCATATTTTAGAATTAAGTTAATGTCATTAATTAATCAATACCACCTGTTGGATGTAGCGGCCGTATAGGTAGGGAAGACCAATGCATGCATATCTAAGAAATAATGTTTTTGGAATACTTTTAATTTGGTGAATAAAGTGTTGGGAATGCAACCTAGTCCCACACCTAAAGAATTAGAAGAGATGGGATTCATAATATATAGGTTCAACACATGTATGAGACTTTTTCAAGGCTCTATGTCCCAAAAACAAGTTCATTAAGACTTGACTTAGAACGAACAATATTATACTAATTCGAGACTGAGGTCAAGGTGTGTGAGGTCTCAACATGTGCGGGGTTGGGGTGAAGATACGTGCGGTCACATGTCACAGAAAATCTTGGTGTGACAAAGAATCTTGGTGTGACAAAGAAAAAGAAAAGATGAACCAAGGCATATAGGTTTAACCCAATTCATTAGTATGAAAGCTTTTGGGAGGTGTTCCAAAAACGAATAATATCATACTAATGCGGGATTGGGGTGAGGGTATATGCAGGCCCCAATATGTGGTATCAGAGCCTAGATTTGTGCGAGCAGGAGCGCCAGACTACGGAGTGTGAGATAATCTCAATGTGACAAAGAAAAAGATGAGATGAACCAAAGTACAAAGGTTTAAACCAACTCATTAGTATGAGGCCTTTTCTAAGGTACCCCAAAAATAAATTCATGAGCACTTAGCCAAAAACGAATAATATCATACTAATGCGGGTTTATGATGAAGGTACGTAAGGTTCCAACATGTACCAAGTTTAAAGGTACGTGTGGTTCCAACATGTGCTATCGAAGCCTAGGTTTGTGCGAGTAGGAGCAGCACACTGCATACTGTGAGAAAATCTTGGTGTGAGTTCGTGAGGACTTGGCCTAGAACGAATAATATCATACTAATGCGGGATTTGGGTGAAGGTACATGAGGTCCCAACATATGCTGGGTCGAGGTGAAGGCACGTGCCTCCCAATATGTGGTATTAGAGTATAGGTTTGTGCAAGCAGGAGCGGCACTATGGCAGACTATGCAGTGGAGAAAATATTAGTGTGACAAAGAAAAAGAAGAGATGAACCAAAGTATATAGGTTTGACCCAATTCATAAGAATGATACCTTTTGGGAGGTGCCCCAAAAACAAATTCGTGAGAACTTGGCCTACAACGAACAATATAATACTAATGCGTGATTAGGATGAAGGTACGTGAGGCCCCAACATGTGCGGGGTTTAAAGGTACCTGCGGTCCCAACATGTATTATCAAAGTCTTGGTTTGTGCGAGTAGGAGCGGCACATGCGTAATGTGTGGTGCACTGTGTCTAAAGTTTTGCAGACCATAAAGAGGTCGGGCAGCGTGTCCCGTAAAGAAATTAGCGACAATGCAAGATGGTTGGGAGATAAAAATGGATTATTGCTAGAGAGGAGGTCAAAAATTATCTAGTCCTAGTTTGAGGGGATCGAGATTTGTTGGGAATGCAACATAGTGCCACACCGAAAGAAAAAGAAAAGATGAATCAAAATATTGTTACATTTTAGTCAGTTTATCGTTTTAGTCGGTTCGGTCCAGGGCGGACCTATGCCTTAGGAGTAGGGGGCAATGGCCCCCAACTAATTTTTGGATATTAAGATTAATTTTTTTACTTTTTTAAATTCACATATTGTTTGACCCCAATTAAAATTCAAGGGACTCCAACTAAAGTGTGTTTCAGTGTATATAATTGCGGAGTAATATTTTATAAAATAAAATTTTAAATTATGTATTCAAAAATTCACATTCATAAATATTTGAATTTTTTTACTTCTTTTATTATTTTATTGTCTATTAAAAAAAACTTAGGCACACTTCCCCTAAACTCCTACCTTTTGTGCCCCCAACTATTTAAAATTCTAGATCCGCCACTGGTTCGGTCCGTGATAATCGATTTTAAATATTTGTATCACGGTCTTGTTCCGTTTGATATCGATTTGATTTTGGTTCGTGATGAAAAAAATCAGTATCATTTGAAAACACTATGAACGGTTTGGTATTACGGTCTGATATAACACCATGCTAGTTCGATTTTTTTCTACCCACCCCCAATTTCTATTGCATCATGGAGCCAGTCTTAGCATTTTTTTATAAGTTCTTAATGGCTTAAATTAATTTTGGAAACATTAAAACTAAGAGAGTCATTAAATAAGGTCATTGCCAAAGAGACATGTCAGGTTTTGTCTAAGGAAAATGCTAGGGTGCCACGCTATCATGGATGCACTCATGTTTCGCACAGACAAATACATAAGATAATTGTCTGTGCACCCATGGTAACACCGATGCGGTGGCAACCTGGTCTTTTGTCTAATTGTAAGTTTGCAACCTCCTTTATGCCGTAATTAATACCACCGCCGCAATGCTTGATCAACGGTGGACTATATTTTTTACTACTCAGTATTATAAATAAAATCAGCGGTAAGGGCCATGTGGGTTGGGGCAAATAAATGAGACTCCAAATTAAGTTCATGTGGTATCAAAATGATAACCCCATGCTAGTCCTAGATACGATACAATCCAGGCCAGGAGTTTTATATTTAGAGACAAAGTAAGTACTATTAAAATATTTGTTACAAGATAATGATGAATAAAATTACTCCATCAAACCCAAATTAATTATTCTAGTTTTGTTTTACGAAATTTAAGAAAAATGTTGAAAAGTAAAAATAGTTTTTCTGAATTTGATAGAAAATGTAACGCCCTGAAAGTAAATTTATCGAAAATAATTAATTGATAATTAATTAATTACTGAAAAAGATCCAAAAATTAAGTAAATTATAGAGTTAATTGTATGAATGGACTCTTCAAAATAAAGAATTAATTGTAATCCGTTCACCAAAATTCATCATGTTTTAACTTTAGACCAAAATATAAAAAGAGTTATTTGGGCCTGACATTCAAATCTTGTCATTAATATGATCCGTAAAAGTATAATGTGATGAATAAATTATTACTGAAAAATATGATGTGATAGATGAGGTAAGCATTTGTAAGGATAAAAATGTTTTTTTAATAGAAAGTAGAAGTATTTTATTTGATTAAAGAGAACGAATTTGAGCCTATTTGGAAATAGCGTTAGAGATTAACGTTAGCGTTTTGGATAAAATTTTAACGGTGCAGATTACTTTGAAAACACTAACGCTAAACACTGTCCATAGATAACTTTTTCAAAACGTTAACGCTAATCGCTAACGTTATTCCCAAACAGACCCTTTAAGAGGAGCGATTTTGGCAAACGGAGAGTACTAAATAAAAACCGAAACAAGTGAATAGTGTTTTTGCCATAATTTAAATCACGTTTTTAGCTAAATTATTTTTATTACTCTGTAAAATTAAGCTAGAATAAAGAAAAACTTTGTAATTTAAATATTTAAAATTATTAGAAAAATTTACCTTTACAAATAATGCGAACTTTATACTCCCTCCGTCCCAGTGAATTTGTCCAGTTTGACTTTTTTGAGTCAAACTAGATAAACTTTGAGTTTCAATTAAATAAAAGTCGTAATGTATTTTAACATAAAAACGACTTTAATTTGGCCTTGTTTGGATGTTGGCTGTCAGCTCGTGCGAGCTGTTGTGAATGGCTGTTTGGTTTAGTTGGTTTGACCGGCAGGATGAATTGGTTGATCGTTAAAAATGTTTGGTAAAATTAATTGTTTGAAAATAACTTTTCCTATATATATATATATATATACACACACACACACACTCGATATTTATTTTTCATTTTTTTTACTTCCATTTAATTCAGAAGAAATTATTAATATACAACTGTTTAATGATTTTTACTTTTTATTTTCTCATTTCATTTTTTTTGAAATTTTTAAATTTTTAATTTGTTTTTTTAGCATTTAATTTTTTTTAACTTTTATTTCTATGTTTATTTTTTACACATATTATAAAATATCTTTCAAGAAAAATGATTTTTTTAAAAAAAAATTGTAACAGCCAAGTTCAAATGCTACTCCCTTTGGCATTTCAGATTTTGACTTTTCGTATCAAAATGCCAGGTGAAAAAGCTATTAGTCAATCGGTGGTTTTGGCGGGTTGCCAAGTAAAAAAAGCCAAAGTCAGTCAAATATGCCAAAAGCTATCCGAAAAGCTATTTTCTAAACACAACCTTTATTCGATTAATCGTATTGAGAACTTTCAAAATTATATTTCATTATGCTAATATTCAATATACGTTAAGAGTAATTAGAATTTAAAATTTATCCAATTTAAATTGAAAAGGTTAAACTGAACAAATAAATTGGGACGGAGGTAGTATTTAAAATATTTATGCTGTAACATAAATACAAAAACGAAATACTCACGTAGGATTCCTGTCTGCAGCCTGCACAGTTGCACATGAGGGAAGACCGTTTATTGCAGTTATTACTCCGCAGGTAAATTAACCTCAGTTTAACCACAGTCAAGGAATACGGCGTTAATAAATACAGTACTCTACTCCACTGGACGGCCGTTAATGGAACGTTTTCTGATAGCCGGCCACGCGGCACAGTTTATTTAAAGTTGGCAGTTTAATTGATTTTCCAGTATAAGAAGAGCTTCTTCCCATATCCATTCTCTCTCTCTCTCCAATTATCTCTCTCCCGAAGATCTCTCCTTCTCTCTCTCCCCCGAGATCTAGCGAGAGAGATATAGAGTGGCAGGGCACGTAATTTGGCAGAGTAGCTGCGAATCTGCAATGGCGATCCGTAAGAAACGAGCCGCCTCTCTGGTATTAACCGTTCTATTGCTTCTCTTCTTCCTCGCCGGAGCTTTTGCCAGAGTCCGCATTAATGGAGGCTCCGATTCGAGGTCCGATGCGCTCGCATTTTTCACTCCGTTGATTTTCGCTTCTGTTTAATTAATAATTTGCACTTCTCGGAATTCCGAGAACATTTATTAGTTCGTTTTCGCTTCACTCTGTATATTTGGCGGAGGAATTAAATCTACGATTGAGCCTGAAAATAGCTGCATTTTGCCTACCTGAGATTTTTCTGGTTTTGTTTTTGATTTCAGGTCCGAGGAGAAGGAGGGATTGCAGAGCTCCAACAACTCATCAATGGCGGCAAGGTATGATGATCTAGATGATAGATACTGCAGTAATTAACTCGGTGCGCTTTTGTTATAGCGAGTCGGCTCAGTCAATCGCTCTTTGGTCCAACGCCAGGAGCAATCTGAGCCGTTGAAATGCTGGATCTCAACTGCAATTCTGTTAATCAAAACCTCTTTTTTTTTAAGATTTAAGCAACTTGTATATTAAAAGTGGTACCACAAATTATACACAAGTATGTTCACAAAACTACAAAATGTTAGTCACATTTTTTTTATTGTACTAGTATATTGTGTCAGTGTGATTACATTTTTTCATTGTATTTTTTTATTAATAACCAAACTATCACATCTTATTTTTATCCATCACATCGGAGGTAAAATTGGAAAGTCAATCAAAATCACACTTTCTTTATTTTTGCCAAAGTCAAAATGGGATTGATTTTAAGGAAATGAGATAGTATAATTTAAGGTACTCTTTTTTGGTTTCAACTTACAAGTAGCTTAACTCTTGTTTTTAAAATAATTAAAAAAACTCCCCTGTTGTAGGAAAAATCGTCTTCCATTCTTCTCATACGTCCGTTGATTGTCCGTACTTCCGAAATTAACCTCTCAAATCTGTTTTAACCGTACATGATTTTATCACCGGTATGTAGATAGTGACTTCATATGCACTTTTCCGTCTTCCGAATGTACCCCCGTAATAATTGCGGCCACGACACCAATCCTTTTATACGTCATACACCGTATAAATATATTCCCTCATCCAAGTTTGAGTACTCTTTACTTTCTTGCTAACACCTCATATAGTCATATCATGCATAAAAAGATTTTACTTTTGAATTGACATGAAAAATTAAAGAAAATGAAATTATAGAGTGCAAATAAACTATGGAGGATTTATCCTCAAAAAATAAAAAAATTATGTACAGGGGTAAATCGTACAATTTTCGAAGAGTTCGAGAGTAATCGGTGCAGTCTTTAATATACAGACATAAACCATGCAATTTCAAAAGAGTTCGGGACTAAATGGTACATTTTTCTCTAATACAAAATAAATTAATTCTAGCTGAATAAATTTAAACATTAATTAACCTAAATAAATGCTGCCTGAATTTTTTTCTATTCCCTACTCAAAACCCGTATTTGTCCTTTGAAAAATATTGAGGACGACATTTGTTAGGTAGAATACCTTCCAGGCTTCTAAAATATGACTTAATGATTGAACTTTTTAAAGAAAACCAGCTTTGCGTTAGAGGACCCAGTTGTATTTTCTCTTTTTACATTTTTAGTTTATACACTCAAATATGACTACCGTACCGTAGAAAATCATATACGGTTCCACTATTTTTCTCTCATCTATTATTGGCATGATCAAACTAAATAATCTTTTCTTACATGTTTGCATTTGGCATTTTTATTTGATTTTTATTTATTTATTTTTATTGAATTTTCTTGCTTTTTTTTTGTGGACAAGGAATGGGTGGGGAACATTTGAAATGTTATTTTACCAATAGTGTGAAATATATTGTTGGGCCGGGGTGTTTTGATCGAGAAATATATGTGGGTGTGGGCCGGCGGGGTTAGTTGAAAGTGGCATTAATGTGCAAGAGTTTTGGTTGTCCATTGTGATATATATATGGATGGTTGTTCAGGTCGGCGGAGGTTGAAGTGGCGCCGTCGAGGGAACACATTGATGATCCTGAAGCGGTTGCATCCATGGTTGCGGAGTAGGTTCCCTCTCATCTTTACCACTTTTTCTTCCTTTTTTCTACCTTGCTAGTAATCTTCTTATCTGATACTCATTGTCTTAAATTGTCACGGTTTGACTTTTTTTTTATCAAACTGTAACATTCATTAACTGCGAATAATAGGAATTTAGACTTCGTTTGGTACACGGAGCTCAAAGTAACCGTCCTAAAACTATTTTCTCAGTTACTATTCACACGGTCAAACTTAAATCACTTTCTTTACCTATTTTCGATTTTTCGCTACTTATTTGATAAAATAATAAAGTCTTGTCACTTCTCGTTTTGTATAACTTTTAATGTAGTTTTACATATGTAAATTTTATTTTTTAATTTTACACCTACAATCAAATAAATGGAATTGAAAATAAAGTCAGTCAAACCTCGTTAAGACAAACGAGAAGATGGTTTTAGGACGGAGGGAGTATGTGGATTTAGAATTGGTAGTGATAAAAATGAATTAGAAATGGAGAACTCAATTCTATCCAAATCATATTCATAGAATTTTAACTCTCAATCCAATTTCAATTTTATCAATTCCGTGTACCACACGATTCTTAATAAAATTGGGTTTATTTAAAAATATTAAATTTTTATAATATTTAATGATTTTAAACTATATTTAATTTCTGTTACAGTTGTGGTAATCTTTTAGAAAGAGAGGAAGTATAATATTGGCCGTGTTTGGAAAACAGCATTTGGGATAGCTTTTGGCATCTTTGACTGACTTTGGCTTTTTTGACCAAACGAACAGCCAAAACCATTGTTTGGCTAATGGCTTTTTCACTTGGCATTTTGATCCGAAAAACCAAAATTTGAAATGCCAAGGTGAGTAGCATTTGGACTTGGCGGTTAGGAAAAATATTTTTTTTAAAATCATTTTTGTTGAAAGATATTTTATAATATATGTAAAAAATAAAAATAAAAGTTAAAAAAATTAAATACGAAAAAATAAAATGAAATTAAAAAAAATTATATTTATAATTCATTAAAAAATTTATATTTATAATTTATTATGAATTAAATGAAATTAAAATTTAATATTCCATATAGTAAAGATTTAATTTTTACATGTAAAAAAATGAAAAATAAATATCATGTCTATATATATATATATATATATATAAATTTTTATTTAATTTTTTTAATTTAAAAAATATATATTTATGATATGATATTAAAAAAAATTGTAAAATAAAATATACCATAAATGGAGGGATGCCCTTTTATGTAATTTTATTTACAAACAGCTAACTATAAACAGCTAAAGTTGCTAAACACTTAAAATTTAACTGCTAACAGAAACAGCCGGTCAAAACAGCTAACTCAATCAGCTATTCAAATCAGCTAACATAAACAGCCAACAGCCAACTGTCAACTGCTAGTATCCAAACAAGGCCATTGTCAAATTTACAAATTTTAATCATTAGTTACATCATATGTGCATTATACTCCAAAAAAATTAAAAATGTCCACTTTATTTTTTGAGACAAACTTAGAGGTGTGAGTTGTTTACCCACGATTATGCCAGCTAAACACTTTGACGAGATGTTATTTTTGAGTATTTTATGGTAGCCTAAATTACAATCTCGATTGTACAGTGCACACACTATTTACACATGTGAAAAATTACGGCTTATCTTTGGGAGTTGCTTAGTTGGATTTTTATGCCAACATGATTGAATTATTGATTGGATTAGTTAATTTGACCAATTAGTTCTAATAATAGCTCTTTATTAAAAAATGTTTGCTGAAAAAGAAAGTGAAAAAAAAACATACCGAGTACTATGTAAAATACATCAAATATGTCAACTAAAAAAGTTGAATAACAGAATAAGAAAGATCACAAATGAATACTCCGTATATAAACAATTGAATGCCATGAATTGGGAGAAAAATGGAAAGCAAGAAGTAATAGTTTAATGAGACCAAAAAGGTTTTATGAGACCAAAAAACTCTCCTATAAAGTTTTACAAAAGCTTTTAAAAAACAATCTCAATCACTCTAAATAGTTCCTTTTTTAACGTAAAAAGCACTTCAAGAAAAAAGGTTGCCAGACTCTCTCATGGCAGTGTGTCGTCGATTGGCATCGTTGTCGGATAGATGTGTCACCCATGTGCAACTAACCTTTTAGGACAAAAGGGCCTTAAATGTGGGAGTATACCGTATCCTACACACATACCGGCCGGAGGACTACCCTATGCCAACAGTCGGTTCAACTACCCTATCAATGGTAAAACTAACCAAATTTTCCCTGCACATAATTATGGGAACAAATTGTAGATCCAACAAAGTCAAGTGAGTTTGGTATGATTTGCTATATAATCGTTTCCACCGACACACTTTTCACTCTTTTGTTACTTAAAAAAGTTGAATCCCAAGTCCCAACCCTTCGTACATTTGGGCTTAGAGAAGATAAATTGAGATATATTCCATCCGTCCCTAAATAAACTTTCTTTTTTGATTTTTTGAAAATTTAAGGGGAGAATACTTTTGTGTTGACTTTCCAAAAATACCATTGATGTGATGTGTAAAAGTAAGATGTGATATGTAGATTATTAGTAAAAAGGTATGATGTGATAGGTAGGGTATGAAAAAGTAAGGAGTAAAATGGATTTTTTAAGGGAAAAAAGAAGTTTATTTGGGGACAAAGAAAAAACGAAAGAGAAAGTTTATTTAGGGACGGAGAGAGTATTAATGTGTAACATTGTACTTTTTTTATGATTGTTGGTATGAATCGAACCCAGATTTACCCATGTCGCACTACCCTCTCTGCTCTCACCCTAGACACTTTAGTTACTCATGATTTGTTCTCTTCAACTTATCTGATTGATTCTGATCTAGTATGATGAAATTGTAGTCTGATTATAATTATATCTAAATTTGTTTATAATTTGATCTGATTCAAATGAGAGAACAACAATAACAACAACAATCCAGTTGAGTCCTACAAAAGTAGGGTCTAGAAAAGTGTGTATACATAGACTTTATCCCTACCCAAAGGGAGAGAGGCTGTTCTTATGAGATTCCTGACTAAGAGCATCTCCAAGGTGTAGTGTAAAAATCGGTAGTGTAAACTTCATTTTACATTATCAATAGTGTTTTACATTTCCATTTTTTTATACTTACTCCAACCATATCTTCTATATAATACATTTTTTATAATATTTTATTGTTTTAAGTTACTTATTTTTAATGATTTTTTAAAAAATACTTAATAAATACCTTGTACATATGAAAATGGAGAAGAAGGAAGGAAAAAAATGAAGAAAATTATTTTTTTTATTCTTTCCACTATTTATAGTAAACTTGTAAAAATACACTTTGGAGATTGCTTTTTACACTACATTGCATTTTACCATTTTGTTTACCCTATCCATTGGAATATTGAAAAGACAACATTAAATTGTATATAGTGTATATTTGGCCAAATAGCTTCCATGCCCCCTGTGGTTTGGAAAATTGGCACCAATACCCCCTCTATTTTCAAAACTTATTTCTAAAATCCTCGTGGTTTCAAAACGTTGCACCCACACCCCCTCAGATCATTTTCCGGTCATTTTCCGGCGAAGAGGGGGCATTGGCGCATAATTTCTAAATCACGAGGGGCATTCATGTTCATTTCTTATTTTCTTTTATTATTCTTCCCTTTTTTAAAATATCTTCTATCTCTTTTTCCTATTCCTAGATTTTTTTAAAAATATATTTTCAATTTTTTGTAATGTTTCAAAAATTTTAAAATTTTTGTTTGAAATAAAAATAAAAATAAAAAAATTAACATACATTAAATCTATATCAAATTAAACATTTTCACCTTCTGTTACTTAGAATAATTTTTTGAAAAGTTCAAAAAAAAACCCAAAATAAAAAAATAAAAATATGGAAAAACGAAATGAAAAAAATTAAAATATGCAAAAGAAGTCTTATACAAAAAGATTAGACACGCCTAAAAAAGTCCTTAGAATTAACATGTCCAAAAAGGATATTCATTTTTATTTTTGTATTATTTTGTTTCTTATTTTATTCCTCATTTCTTGAAGTCTCAAAAAAAAATTTACTTTTTTTCAGAAAAAACAAAAATTGTTAATTTGAGACGTACATATGCATTATATCTTAATTTTTTCTAACAAAAGTAACTTTAAATTTTAAGAAACATTATAAAAAAAATATTTATTAATAAATGAAATAAAAAAGGAAAAAATGGAAAAAAAAATATGAAAGAAATAAAAATCAGCATAACCCCTATGGTTTAAAAAACATGCACCAATACCCCCCTCCTCGCCGGAAAATGATCGGAGGGGCACGGGTGCAGCATTTTGAAACCACAGGGACTTTAAAAATGAGTTTTGAAACAGATGGGGGTATTGGTGCTTGTTTTGCAAACCACGAGGGGTACCGGCGCTATTTGGCCGTCTATATTTTACAATATAGACTATCCGTTGGAGTTGCTCTAAGCTGCACACAAAAAGGTTCGCAATAGATACATAAAGTAATGAAAGTAGAGATACAACACAATAAAATAAAGCACACAAGATAAAACTAAACGGTAAAACTACCAAATGAGAGATAGTTAAGAAATTTTCTATTCCAAGAAAATTAAATGTTCACTCTGCTGTTGAAAATGTTCTGATATCTATTTCTGTTAACAGGAGCATCCGGAATAGTTCTATAGAGAGGAGAAATTTGGGATACTTCTCGTGTGGGTCTGGGAATCCGATAGACGACTGCTGGCGTTGCGACCCGAATTGGCACAACAACCGCAGGCGTCTGGCAGACTGTGGGATCGGGTTTGGGAGGAATGCGATCGGAGGGCGTGACGGTAAATTCTACGTCGTCACGGACCCGCGAGACGATGACCCGGTGAACCCGAAACCGGGCACACTCCGTCACGCGGTCATCCAGGACGAACCGCTGTGGATCATCTTCAAGAGGGACATGGTGATCACTCTGAAGGAGGAGCTGATCATGAACAGCTTCAAGACCATCGACGGCCGCGGGACCAACGTCCACATCGCTTATGGAGCTTGCATCACCATTCAGTTCATCACCAATGTGATCATCCATGGCTTGCACGTCCATGACTGCAAGCCCACCGGAAACGCCATGGTCAGGAGCTCGCCGTCCCATTTCGGCTGGCGGACAATGGCCGACGGCGACGGCATTTCCATCTTTGGGTCCAGCCATGTTTGGATTGATCACAACTCCCTGTCTAACTGTGCTGATGGTTTGGTTGATGCTGTCATGGGCTCGACTTCCCTTACCATTTCCAACAACCATTTTGCCCACCACAATGAGGTCCATCTTAACTATCTCTTTTACTTATTCAATCACAAGTTCAATTTTATTGTTGTAGGCTCAGCTCACAAGGAGTTTTTATGTTAGTGAAACTTGCACTAGATAGTACTAAAACATATGGTTTTTCCAAACGTAGTACTTAAAACTTTTTATTTCATAAATAGTACTTGAACATTGTCCAATAGTGGACACTAAATAGTGGTATTACATGGGAAGATTAAAAGTTTAAAACATCTACATTATTAGGAGCTTCACTACGTTTTAGTAGGTAAATTTTCCTTTTTATATTCTAACCTACGTGTAGACGTGATTTATTTTAGTTTGAATCTAGCTTTCATTTCCTAAGTACTCCTAATAATCATTTTAAGGAATGGCGGTGCAGGTTATGTTGTTGGGTCACAGTGACTCTTACATAAGAGACAAGCAAATGCAAGTGACAATTGCATATAACCACTTTGGAGAGGGTCTCATTCAGAGGATGCCTAGGTAACATTAATAATAATGGTCCCTAAAACTGAAAACATGAGAGAATTGAGTTTTATGTGGTGTAAACATCTACCTATATTATACACTTGAACTAAACTAACAATTAATAATACTCTTTATGAACAAAACAAAACAAAAAAATGAAGGTGTAGGCATGGGTACTTCCATGTGGTGAACAATGACTACACTCACTGGGAAATGTATGCCATCGGTGGAAGCGCTGACCCAACCATCAACAGTCAAGGCAACCGCTACCTTGCCCCGGCCAATCCTTTTGCGAAAGAGGTATGCATGCATACATATATACAGTCACGAATTAATTAATGATGACACTGTCGATAATTCAGAGAGTAAGAAAAAAAATACCGAAAAAAGTAAGTGGTTGAAACCAATAGGTCTTTGAACCACAAGCCAGGAGTTTTTAGTTGAATCGTTTAGTTACTGATACACACATTCATAAGAAATGAAATGGCGTGTTTGTTGAAAAATGTGTATATATATAGGTGACAAAGAGGGTAGAGGCATCATCAGAGAGTGTTTGGGAGGGTTGGAATTGGAGATCAGAGGGGGACCTGATGCTGAACGGGGCCTATTTCATTCGGTCTGGAGCGGGCGCGTCAGCCAGCTACGCAAGAGCTTCGAGCCTTGGTGCCAAGTCATCTTCTATGGTCGGCGTTATCACCGCCTCTGCCGGTCCTCTTGCTTGCCGCCGAGGACGCACATGCTAGCTAGCACAACAACTCGACCGCCTGATCGACTTCACCAACAACAACAACAATAACAACACCAATGCCAAAGAAGTGTACAATTTTAGCACAAGATGAATTCATTCTGGGGGGTCTCAAAATGGTGTATGTATGTGCAAATATATGTAATTTGTTTGCACGTGCATGCCGGCCTTATATTTATATGTATAAATATTTAATTTTCACCCAGTTTTTTTTTTAAAACAAAGTGTATGTATTTGTCCAATGAGCATGTATCAAATGAATTAATCAATCATAATGTAGCTAGCATCCACTAGTGCTTTGGTCTTTCACCAAGTGTACGTGTGTTAGTGTTTATGTGAATCTCAAAAGTCAAAACTATCATTCTTGGGGATACAAATTAAAGAAGCATTCTTCTCTGATCTCTGTTATACCATATACGCTGAGTAGGTATAAAATCTGCATATCAAAGTCCTATGGTCATTGTTTGTAGTTTGTTTTTTTAACATATGTTACACCTTCTTCATTCAAGACCTTCTCCAAGGACGTGCTCGTTGATCTTCTCCAGATCAGCGGTGTACTCAATGTTTGGATCGGATTGTGAACATAAACAACGCGGGTTGTGTTTATATCACCCACGAAGCTATCAGGTTTCAATGTAAAACATCAATGAGCAGGGATGACAATTCCAATTTTGTCAAAAACAATCGTTTGTCCAAAAACAATATAATGTCAACTAAAGTTACAAAAACTCAATTAAACAACAATGAGGGATGACAACTCCAATTTGGTGAACCAGAAGACTATCCACCCCAACTCATGAATATATAGTAAATGTCATTGCCACTTCTCCAAATGTCGAATGCTTAAGACTGTAGTGTTCAATCACGACCCTATATAAGTTCCTTCACCATTTTAGAAGGGTGTTGTGGGAAAAATTGGGTGCAAAATTGTTGTATTCCACCAACTGTCATCCACAAGATCAAGTTTGTTGTAAATGAAACTAGTTTTAGGAGTAAACTTTGCCACATATTAGAAATGGGTATGTTTATAATCGAAGGTACACCCATCCATTACATTTAATCATTTGAAATTGTGTATGATTTTAATCCATTAACCTCGGTTTTTTTCCAACTCATTCTAATTTTTTCCAACTATTTTTAATTTTTTACATTTTTTAGCTTCTTCCAACATTTACTTTAAAAAAACTAATTAGATATATTTTTCATATTATTCTTATTATACTTGAAAAATTACAATTATTATGATGAGAACCATCGTTGTCATAATCAACAAATAACGTCTTAAAACTATCTTCTCATTTCACATTTTTCTCCGTCTTAAAACTACTTTCCTACTTCACAAAAAAACAACCATTCTCTTGTTAAAAGACATTACTACCCTTTTTATTTTAATCCACCCACAATAACTCTAAACCACCCATCCACTCAAATTAATTCCTAACCCATCCACATTCGCTCCCATTCCGCCCACATTCACTCACCCCAACCCTGAAAACCCATTCATTTCTTCTGCAGTTCTGCCTTTCTTTGTTCATTCTGTCACTCATCAAGAACCCTATATCTCTCTTCCCCCATTCTCAAGAATTTTATTCTCTAATCCACCTCTCTCTCTCTCTCTCACATGCTACCTCTGCTATCGATTCGTTGTGGATCCATGGTAAATTTTTGTATTAGTCTGTTTCAGTTGGATTACATCTGCTCTTGAATTGTTGCTCCAAATCTAGATCTACTGTATGTTTCTTCATATGGTCTCAAAAGGATGATTGTTCCCCCTGCTATTCCTAAAATTAAGCCTTAATCGTCCACGACGGTGAGGACGAAGAGGGCAATGATAACATCGTCACTGAGAGTTAAGCCAACGCGGCCATTGCCAGCATCGCCAACCTCCCTCGACCTCGCTTTGTGTTGATGTGTAAATAGATTAAAGAAAGAGAAGATTCCTCTCTTGCGATCTGATTTTAATTGAAGATAAAGAAGAGCTTTGGCAATTTTTTTCAAACATTTGTAATGGTTGATTGGTTGTTATTTGGATATGTTAAATTATACCAAGAATCTTCAATATTGTTCTTTCCACCCTAGAAATTTGTTGATTTATGAATTCACTCTTAAGGAATAATTGTGTACATGGATGTTTATATAGGTGAGGATCCCTACATGGACTAGGATTCACCAAATAAGTAAACTAACATAAATAACAATTCTACTATAACTAGACTTCTTTCCATATATGTCTAACATCCCCCCTCAAGCTGAACGCCGTGAAACGAGAGGAAGCTTGGCAACCAATGCAGTGTAGCGTGGCGAGGCAAGAGCTTTTGTGAGAAGGTCTGCCAACTGCTCATTAGAAGGAACATAAGAGACTGTCATTTTCTCTGCAATTACTTGTTCTCGAACAAAGTGGCAATCCGTTCCGACATGTTTCATGCGCTTATGGAAGACTGGATTCTTAGTCAGACAGATGGTGGACTGGTTGTCGCATAGAAGATGTGGAGGAGGGAGCTTGATCTGTAAAATGTCAAACAAGTAGGTGAGCCACATCACTTCAGCTGCTGCGGCCGAGAGGGCTCTGTACTCGGCCTCGGTGGACGAGCGTGAGACACGACTTTGTTTCTCCGTACTCCAAGAAAGTAAATTAGAGCCAAGATATATCAAGTAACCTGTAATGGACCGTCCATCTGTCATATCGTTGGCCCA